AAAAATAATAATTATGTGATCGGTATCAGTGATCGGAATTGGAAGGAAAAAACCTGATCGGCACATCTCTAATTATGAGTGCAATTGTTAGTGCGCTGGTGCATGTAAAGGCATACAGGCAGGCAGCAGTAAGACAGGCATAACAGATAACAAGAGGCAGACAGTCTGACAGACATGTGGACAAAGACAAAAGAGAGACAAGACAGACAAACACAGTAAGAGACAGACACAAAGACAATAAAACTGTGATCCACCCCTCAAGACTAACAGACTCGATTACCTTATTAAGCACCAATCATCCAGTTTCTGACAAAATCCAATCAGTTGCTTATGTAAATCAACACTCTGTGTGTGCAGAAGTCAGTTACTGTTTAGACCATTTTTACTAACAGCATTCTGATGTTAGCTCTAATGTTTGACTAACTTTACTTTCTCTGTTTGAACCTTAATTTGACAAATACGAATTAAACAATTTTCAATCTCAGACAATTACATATTTTGGAATTTAAATAAAATGGGAGAAAAACTAGAAATGAGAAACAGGAAATGCGACATAATGTGTGTACATGTACACAGATTTTAGATTGAACTGATTAATTTCCTTGCCATTTCCTTTCCCACCAAGAGAATCTAAAACTGGCTCAAATTTTACGGGAATTGAGAAATGAGCATTCCTAGCCTTCACTTGGATGTCGTCTTTATTAGCGACAAAGGGCTACAGTTGACACATTTTTCTGAATTAAAATTGCTATTTAATAAAATATTGAAATAAAACGTGTTTTGTGATGGTTAATGTTTCTTCTTTCTGGTGTTTCAAACACCTGTCTTCTCTGTAACTCCATAGTTAGGACTGTGACTAGGATTGGACACATCAGATCCATTTCATACTCCAGAATTTCAATTGCACAGTTTCATAATAAAATTTATGTGATGATTGAAATCATTTTCACTTTGAGTTTACGACAGTGCAAGATTAGCAAGATTAAAAAAAAAGTGTTCCTTCCAAAGTTTTAGAGGAAATTTTTGATGCATTTAATGAAAACTAGCTCTAATATGCTGTTTATCAAAAACATCCTATCTAATTACTCTTCATGCATTTAAGGTTTGTATAATTTTATAATTGAGTTGACTTAAGTTTTGGAGCAATACAATTTAACTGACTTTTTACAGAAAGTTGACTGGGAGATATGCTAAAGGGAAAGAAAATCTGGAAAAATGACACTGATCATCCAGTTTTATTTCACCGGTTCCTTTATATTTTGAGGAGTTAGAAACTTTTTTTACCCTTACTCAGAATGCTCTAGACTTCAGCATTTACACAGTAGAGGGAGCTGTTCAAAGTAGCAGATTTAGTGTTCTAAGCAAAGATTTAATTGTCAGAAACGGGTGTGGATCCATGTTTGAGGGATCTCACAAATATTTGATATTGCACTCTCTATTCTAACTTAAGAAGTTACCACAAATAACAGACAAAAACGAGACAACACTAACCCCACGTTGGCGTCCGCTAACCAGACACTCAGAGTGTACCTGAGGGGCGATGCTTTGGGAGTGGCCACTCCGTAACCCTTAGAGTCAAGGTTTCCTCCTACTTTCATGGTGTCGCAGGGTTTCCTCTGCTCGATGTACTCGTTCATGGAAGACTCAAGTAGGTAGGCATACTTCCCCTTTGACTTTCTGACTCGTATTACCCCCTCATTGGTGCTCTTTACGAATACAGACGGGTCTGCACTGCGCATGTATGACCACATCTTTTCGAACACAGCAATCTTTGACCTCTAAAAGGGGAGTGAAGAGCAAAAATGAGATAACATTAATTTATACTGTTTAAGACAAGTCGCTCCATTTGTGAAGATGATTTTGAACTTTAATCACAGTACTGAATCTAGCTAAATCCCCCTGGTTTTGCACATCCTACAAACTAGAATGTACAATTCCCTAGATGAAACTGGAAACAAGTTTGCTCAATATTATTTAGGTCTTAATTTTCTGTCAGAAAGTAATTTATTTAAAAAAAAAAAGTTTTTATATAGTGATGTACCATAAAGGTTTTACAGTGGTTGACACACTAGCCTTCACATTATACATACAGTTTAAAGCATACAGACATATTAAACTGAATAAGAGGTCAGAAACAGGCACGTGCAGAGGGGTTGGGGGGCCTTGAGCACCTGCCCCTTTTGCTCCTTGCCCCCAAGTGCCCTTTTGGTCAAATTTTTTATTTTTATTTTTTTAAAATTACTATTATTATTTCCTAAGCCCTCTGACCAGAGGCGCCGCCAGGAATCTTGGGCCCCCTGAAAAAAAATTAGATTGGGCCCCCCTGTGCAGCTGCTGTTACAATTTTCTGAGTCTATTTGACCCATAAAAAGCATCACAATTTTAAAGGCTTGCAACCGCCTTGCTTTCTGTGGTCCAATACTGATAATTAGCACAATATTTACTGCTCATGAATTTAAAATCCAACAGTCCACATCCAGTATGCAAGTAGGTTGCTTACATTTTTTCTATTAGTTTTATATACTGAAATGTCTCCCTATGAGCAACAGTCAAAAGCAACATCCAACTTCACATAAAACAATCCAGACTTCTAAAAATCCTATGTAGTTGCATTTTATTCAAGCTGCAGTACATAACTTTAATAAAAAATATGTTTTCTCCATATTTGTTAAAGCTGTCATGATTTCGTAGCAGTTTGTTATGAGACATAATCCGTGAAAACAATCAAACTCCTCCATCTCCTTCCTGAATTACTATTACTGGTTAAAGTAATGCACCGTTCTGACCAAAACAACCAATCAGAACTAGTAAAACGCTCTTAGCAATGTCAATTAGCCTCATTCACTCACTGTTAAATGTGCTAATGGGGAAGAAACAACTCATCATTACAAGAAACCGTTTATCTGCCATCACTGGTAGCTATGCTAACTAAACTGAGCATTCACAGTTTGAATCTGCACAGCTCTGTGCTATGCTAGCTGCAGCATGGCACAAATCAAGGTGGAGGAAGGATGAGAGCAACATGAGATTGTGATTGACAGCACTAAAACTCTCCTT